ACGACTGTACATTTGCTGTCATGTTAAACTTATATTAAAGTTTTTCTTCATTACCCATTTAAGCCGTCTCCAGCCATTATTAGTCCTGATCATTGTTGTTGTTGTTACTGTCGAGATCAAAACTGTTATTATCACTGTTGTTATGCTAAAAATTAAAACAATCTTGGTCCTCGTTGCTATCGAACTCAAAACAGTCCTGGTTGTTGCTATCATACCGGCCTTCAAACGTGGTTTGCTACTTAGCTGTAATAACTATCTGTGCTTGTTTAATTATCTTAAGTGTTTTATTATTATTACTGTACGTGGGTAACGTTTCGAAAGTTATCTAATAATATACACACACAAAGAGTTTAATAATTTCAGCTTGTTCTTTACTAATATATTTGGATAGAACATAGTAGGAGTATAGCTATAGTCAAGAATTAAGATATGGAGTTGTACGTAAGCACCACAAATTCTGGTTCTTATAAGTGATGATGCAAGTAGTGGCAAGTGTGAAAGCTGAATATCAAACTTTATATCATTAAGAGTGCTTGATAACAAAATAGAAACTACTTTTTCATCTGAAAAAAAAGTTTTTTTTTTTTTGCATAAGAAATACGCCTACATGACGTTATCGTTTATTTAATCCTGCACCAATCATCAGCAGCCAGACTGATTGACAACTTAGTCTGTCCTGGTTTTTCACTTTATCACCTACCTGACGGCTCGCTGGAAGTCGCATCCTCGGCTACAATCTCGTCATTAAGTTCATCTTTTCCACGTAAAAAGTCTAATTTCTGGGATAAAACGGCGGCAATTTTTTCCGCTGGCCAGTTTTTATCTCCAAATGGAACCTTTATGCTGCTTAGTTGAGTAACTTTGGCTGTTTTAGGTTTTTTTGATTTTTCTTTTATTCTCTTCCACAACTCCCGCAACTGCTTTCTGTCTCGCTTAGTTACTCCCGGTAGTGCGTTGAAAGCTGAGGTGATTCTATCCCAAGTTGCCTCCTTGTAGGCTATCATCCACGCATCGTTATGTCGGTCCTCTATGATGTGCCTGAATTGATCTACAAATAGTAAAAATACACCTTTTTCGTATTCGGAAAAATTCTCGGACCTTTTTCTCACCCTATATTCCTGGGTCTGGCCGAAAAATTCCTCTTCCATAATGGCGGTCGTCACAAGCCATGCGATCGACCCAAGTATTAACTATCGCGTGACTACGATACTACGCTCGCCTTGGCTAGCCCACTTCCAATGCGAGGATTTCCTAACGCAGGGCTTAGGTTAGTACGAGTTGTATACGTCATAGTCCTGACGCTAGTATTTTTCGCCATCAGAAAACCTGCGCTTATCGAGACAGTTTACAACCTTCACCACCAGGAACAGCTACAGACGACCTCGCTGGGTAAGCCCGGTTTTCTGTCAAGCAATGAAGACAGAACATACAGATTAATTTAAAATGTTCTGCTTGCTAAGTTTATTTTAATACTGTTTATATTACATACACGTTATAAGTTCATCTCGCCAATGAACCATCCCTCAGTAACTAGCTTAATAGCTGGTCTGGCATGGTTCATTTTAAACTAAAGTTTGTACGCTCACCTCCTTGTGTTAAGTCTTTGCCTACGCTCTAGTGCCAGTTGTTAAGCCCCCACGCTTCTTACTAGCTCTACTTTTCTATTTCACGAGGACCGCTGTGTTTTGTATCATATTACAGATACAGCCTTTGACTTTTAGGCTTAGAACTAATAGGGCTATTCTATTTAGCAGCTGTGTTGTTTACAGTACGTTTTCCCAAAAGAGTTGTAACATCAGATAGCCCTCTGCGATAAAAAAAAGGTTCAAACCTGACTGACTATCACTATTCCCAGCTGTTTCATGCCATTATGCATCCACCCTAAAACTGTTTTGTCAACAGTGTGACAGACTTTTGGAATTATATTTTTAAATAATTATTTTTGTTAAAGTTATTATCATATAAAATACAATAATTAACTTGTAGCAAAAGGAAATGTAATACATATTTACAGATTAGTGACCATATACAGCCTTTAATATAATAAAATCAGTCATATACATATGGAGTTTTAGGTTCTGAATGTCGACGATAATTTATTCTCCATTAAGTCCAAGTTTTATACTTTGTGTATTCTTTCTTTACTCGGAATAAACCTGTTTAAATGAGATATTGCTTTTAGCCATGATGTGATTACTTAGTTAAATAAACATGGAACCTTCCATATTGGTGACTTTTTTTTTTTCTAACATTGTATAATGTATTCACGAAGCGTCTTTAAGTACATTTGGGCTTAGTGCATATATCCTCAAAAGTTTATGAAACCAGAACAATTTCAGGATTTATTTTCTATTGCTTAATCAAATATAGTCGTATCTTTGAGAGAAAATCTTGTGTAAAGTAAAACATATATTAATAATGTGTGGATCCGTGTAT